GTAACAATCAGAACGGCAGAAGAAAAGAAAGAAACGAGGATGTTGTGGAAGAAAAGAAAAAAACGAGGATGCGGCGGAAGAAAAGAAAGAAAAGAGGAAAAAGAAGACCATGCGAAAGAAAAAAGAGGATGGAGCGAAGAGGATGCCTGCGGAAGAGGAAAGAGGGTGGATCGAATGCTGATTCAGAAGCTTGAACTTGGTATATTTACAAAAATACCAGGTGTACAGATACACCCGGATGTACGATATAATTTGCCTGCTACCCCCATTAATTATTTATACTCCCTTCGTCCCATTTAAAGGTTGTTGTCCACTATTTTTCGATCAACGTGCATTATTCTTAATCTTTTACATTATATATCCAACTTTTATCCAATTTATTTTTGTTATCAGGCTTTGTAGTGGTTTTAATGTAGTTTCTGAATATGTAATTTTTATTTACTAAAAGTAATTCTACTAATGACATAGATCAGTTAACTTTATGCTCAGTCAAACATCATAAACCGCGTGAGAACGTTTAAATGAGACGGAGGGAGTAGTATTTACGGGTTTATTAATCTAAAATATATTTAGATCTAAATATTACAAAAAACCTCACATATCTAAAAAGATGTATCACATTTTAACATAACATATTCAAGAAAAAATCCATAATAATTATAACAACAAATTTAGGACCTGTTTACTAACAGAGATATTTTCCAGTTTTCTAGAAATCTGGAAAATTAGAAAACAGAAAACAGAAAACGTGTTTACCAAAATAATTCTAGAAAACTGGAAAATAGAAAACAGAAAACGTGTTTACCAAATCATTTTCAAAACAAAAAAAATGAGACATGTCTCTGTTGTTTTCCTTAAAAAATTGGAGAAGTGACTTTTACTAGTTTTCCAAATTTGGAAAAAGCGGATGGTGCAGTGCCACTGCAATGAATTTCATACTTAGGCCTAGTGTTGGGTCCGATCCTTTCCGGTCATTGAACCGACGATTCATGTCCGTTCCGGTCGATGGCCGAGCAAACCCGACGGTCCGAATCTAGTCGATGACCCGACGGTCCCGGTCCGGTCGATGAACCGTCGGCTCCTGTCTGATCTGGTCCATGACCCGACGGTTCCTATCTGGTCCGGTCCACGAACCGGCGGTCCTTGTCCATTCAGGTCCACGACGTGACGGTCCCTGTCCGGTCTGGCCGATGACCCGACAGTCCTCATCTTATATGGCAAATGACCCGATGGATTGTGTTTGCTCCGATCGACAACCGGACGGTCTCAGGCCAGTCTCGTAAATGACCCGGCGGTCCCTGTCAGGGTCGGTCAATGACCCGATGGTCCAGTCTCGATTTTTCGAAATCATTTTTTAAAGTGAAAAGTTTTAAAAGAGTCATTGAGTTGTCAACCAATAGGGAAATGAGAAAAGAATTCATCAACCGGGACCAACCGATTTCGGTCTCGACTTTCCTATATGTGGGACCCAGTACCTTACTTGGGTTTTACTAGGTTCGGTTCCAGACTAGGATCGTACTTTCAGTCTTTTGGTCGGTCAGAGAACCAGGGGGTGAAAACATTGTATGAACATGTTTTTATATTTTAAAATAGAAAACTAAAAAATGAAAACAAAAAATTGGAGATAAAAAACTGGAAAATGAAAACAGAAAATTGGAGAACGAAAAACAGAAATAGAAAACTGGAAAATATCTCTGTTAGTAAACAGACCCTTAGTTTTTGTGCTCATATAATAAGAGTGGCATTCTTGCGAGGTCGGCCTAGCAGGATCTATTCTCAAGCCAAGCCCGTTGGAGGTGCTTTCGGGTTGTTTTTTTCGATACAATTTTGTTGGCATGTTCTGTATGTATTGTAGATAATTCTGTCCACCAAATTTCAGATTAAAATTCAATCGGGAAGTCAGTTAGATAAATTATTGAAAAACATTGCATCAAATTATATAAAAAACACAGTGTTTATTCAATAATTTATTTAACTATTTGACCGATTGAGTTCTAATATAAAACGCTTATGTTGAGGTTATAATGGAAAGATGGTCAAATAGGACATTCTATTCTTTTTAATCTGGCACTTAAGCCCTTAGCTTTTACTAAAAAAGTACTACCTCCGTCCCATAAAATTTTTCCCACTTTCCTTTTTAGACCGTCCCAAAAAATTCTTCCCACTTACCATTTTTGGACAATTTGTGTGGTTCACATTCATTTCATCTTTTTCTTACACAACCACAACCATACATTTCCACTTTATTCCACTTTCTTAATCTCCATGACAAGTCAAAGTGGGAAGAATTTTATGGGATGGAGGTAGTATCATATAAGTACGCCTACTTTACAAAGTGGATCAATTTGATTATTTAATCAGTTTTTGACTTGTAATAACAGGTTCTAAATATTTAAAAAACTGTAAAAAAATGTTAAATTTGAAGAAGTATATACAAAAATTGTGAAAATTTTGAGAATATGAAAGTCAATATTTTTTAATTTTTAAAAATATTTGTATATCTTACATCTATTTAAAAGGTTTTTAAATTTTTATTTTTAATTTTCACTTTATTTTTCAATTTTGTGATTTCTAGTTATTGATTCAAATTTATATGAATTTTTGTAACATTTATCAATATTCCTAATTTAATTTAAAAAAATAACCTGCTATAGCAGGTCAAATGTCTTGGTTGATTGTATTTTGAATGTAAACGTAATACTGTTTTTAGTACAGAAGCTTAAGTGACAAATTGGAAATAGTACAAGGACTTTTTTTACGTTTTTTTCCTTTTATAGTTTTATCATCTATAGATTTTCAATTGGAGAAGAGAAGTAGACTATGTCTTTCCATAAGTGGAAAGGTGATGTTTATAGTTAGTATTAGTATGGCAGATAGCTTCGAATAAGCGAGTGAAGAGACACGACCGTCTAATAAATTTTGAAGCCCCGGTTTCAAATATAAAATCGAGGCCTCACATTAATATAAATGTTTTAAAAAAACTTCAATCCAAATACTTATACTTAAATCAATTGTTTACTCATTAAATAATGTAATAAAAGAATTTCTAAAACTTACTTAATCCTTGATTTAAAGCAATCCAAGTTATTATTCAAGCAATTTGAATAAAAGTAAACTTAAATGACCAACGAAAAAAATAACGGATCCATATTTTTCTTCCTTACTAACTGTATTTTACTAATAAATACTAATATATGGAGTATGCAGTATAATATTATTGTGTTATACTACTAATCGAGTGCCCTATTCTGAATAACCTATTGAATCCCCTAAAGAACGGCCATGTCAAGAGAAAATCCATTTACAATGCACTCCTGGAGTCCTGGGTGCGAACATGTATACTGGTTTGGCTGTGAAATGTCAATCTATATTCAATGACATGAAGAAGGAAGAAAAGTGTTCTCCAAGACTGCAACCACAGTAACACACTAACTGCTTTGGCTGTGAAAATGCTAGTGGTTATACACAACATACTAAGCTAACTGGTTTTGCAACGATAGTAATACATTTTTGGGATTCATTGTAATTGTAATCATAATAGATTGGGAGGATCTTAACAACATTTCTTAAAATTAGTATTCTTTTACGTACCATCTAGTAGATGTTGCATACAAAGCATTTTTTAATAATTTGTAGTTTTCTTTGACAGTTTGATGGACTTACATGTACATCTTTTTCATCATGTGATTATGTGATATATCCATTTAAATTCTACTATTTATTTCTTAGTTTGCTATTATAATGACATCTTACTTTGTAATCTATTTAATGTTTTGAGTTTATTGGATCACAAATTATTGCAACCTCCAACGATAATGCCAGTTGATATGAATAATGACATAATAATGACATTTTAATATAGAAATATGACATTTTTAGATTGTAAAAATATAGAATTACAAGATAAAAAATAAAGAATTCCCGTTTTCATAGAAAATTATAGATTTAAATATGTTTTTAGTCCCTACAAATATAACAAATCTTGTTTTAGGTTTATACAAAATATTTTCTTTATTTTTCATCCCTAAAATTTATGTTGCTTTTCCCTTTAGCCCATGACTAATGATAACAACCTTCGTTTGACAATGAAACAATCCAGATTAATAGGTATCCTTTAATCCTTTGTCATGTCATTCCAAAATATTTTATTTATTTTTTAGAAGGTTTTGAATACATATTTTAAAAATGCGCATAATTAGTTTTAATTATGTTTTAACTCTCATATTAGTCTCAAAAAAATTATAAAATGATAAATTTAAATGTTTCTAGTAGACTAATGCAATCGACAATAAAAAAATTAAGTAGAGTTCTTTCGAAATTAGAGATGGAGTAAAACCAAAATAGTGCATATTACAAGGATATGATGAAAAACAAAGAAAATATCTTGTAAGGACCTAAAACAATGTATGTCATATTTGCAAGGACTAAAACCATATGTATACCAAAATTATATAATGATAAGATTACAATTGAAAATCCAAAATATTATGAGAAGAAAATAAAAAATGAAAAAGTCAATACAATATTACTTTTTGTACATTAAGTGTCATAAAAATGACATCATTTGGCAAGCACGTCAAAAGCATGACATTCCAAGTACATAAAAATGTCATTTTTTCAAATAACCAATATTTATAACATTCTCATATCCGAAAAGTTACATTTTCAGCCGATTCAGCCGATTTTCGTGTTAACAATCGGACTCAAAAAATACTTGCTCATAGATAATTTTTGTGAGAGTGTTTAGTGTCTATACAAAAGAAAGTGTGTACATGTAATTTTTGTTTTCTGATTATGGTATCGGCGGACGTAGCTCAACTGATAGTGAGAAAGTGATACAAGGGTTAGATCCCAGGTTCGAATCCCGAAAAGTGCGGTGAGAAGTTACTATGCTAAAGTGCGGACTTGCATAAGGATTTTTTTTTTGTTTTTGTTTTCGGATTATGGTAATCTACGGGTTTTACGTTTAGGCGTGGGCCAGGGGTGACAGAGTATAGTAAAGAAAGCGTGAACCAAATAAAGGATGCGATAGTTTCAGTATATAAGGGGCCCTTTCCGTTTCTCGTCTTCAACTCTTCTGTCCCGCTCAAGCCTTGAAAATCGTTGCTATCGCCAAAAGCTGCCCGCTTTATCATTAATACTGGTAACAGGTGCTGCATTCTTCGTCTGGGTTTTCTTGTAAGTTCTACTCGCAACAAAACCACCCCCATTGAAATATGAGTCTAATTTTCTTGAAAATTTAAAGTGTTTAACGAATGACGTTCTTTTTGCCGCATATAAAGACTTGTTTTCTGCAAAAGAATTGGTCCTGAATTTTATTTTCGAGGATATTCACTAGCATTGTTCAATTCTTTTTTTTTACTCCGAATTTGATCTCCCTTACAGAGTGATGCCGAAGTGGAGGAGAAAGGAGAGTAAGAAGAATCCGGAGAAAGAACTGGCTGCCGAAGACTGGTGCTTTACGTGCAAGGATGGCGGTGAACTGCTTCTTTGTGACAACAGGTATGCCTATTCCCCAATTTTCTTCCTTCCCTCCCTTGTTTTTATATCTTTACATGGCAGTAATTTGTCTAATGCGTCAAAGCCAAAATTACTGTTTCTTGCTTGCAAAAAGACTTGGTGTTTAATTTTAAGAGTTGGTTTATCTTTTCAAGGTCAATCAGTGGACCCCCCCCCCCCCCCCCCCCCCCTACTATTAATACTACGTAATTTTATACGGATTAATAATCTCTATACTCTGCCACTGTGGACTTCATTCCTGAGAGAGCCAACTCTCAGGTTCTAGATTATAAGAAAGGGCTCTTTTGAGACATGCATGGTTGTACACTTGTACTTGTCTGCTTGTGGACTGACCAGACAAGGAGCCACGCTCTATTGGTGTATGAATTGACATTTTCAGGCTGTTCACTCATTAGAATAGTTTCAGAACATGAAAAGTTGAGATGCCTCTTGATGTCTGATCATGCATGAAGGAATATACTAACATACATATCTTTTTTTTTGCACCCAGATCTTGGTTGTATATTTTTAATCTAGAGATTTCTATACCTCTTTCGTTTTCTTAAATTTAATGTACAATGAATTGTCCTAGTAATTCAGTATCACTTAAGCCATTTTTAGATGTGTTGGGAAACCTTGGGATGCTTCCATTGTAATGTGGGACTGTTGGTATATAGGCCCTCCATCTACTTATCTACTTAAGGTTATAAAAGTTTCCACCTATTAAATTGAATATCATTATATTGAGGCTTGACTCTCCTGCATGTGTTTTTATACTTACAGGAAGTGTGTAAAAGCCTACCATCCAGATTGTGTAGGGAAAGAATATTCAGCTTTGACAAGTAATCAACGCTGGATATGTAGTAAGCTACTAATTTTATCTCTTTTGGCGCTGAGTTAATATTTCATCTTGGATGTGCATCTAACTTTGATCGCATGATATATGGATATTTCCTTTTCAATCCCTTCATTTTACTTGGTAAAACTTCATCAGTTCTGTATACATGTGAAAACTTCATCAGTTTTATATAAATGAGAGTATGTTTGACTGTGTGAAAGAAGGCGAGTGATCAATACAATTTTTAGTACTCCCTCCATCCCATTTAAACGTTCTCGTTCAGTATTATCCGGTCAACGTGCATTATTCTTAATCTTTTACTTTATATATCACATTTTTATCAAATTTAAATTTTCATGATCAGGCTTTGTAGCGGTTTTAATGTAGTTTGTGAATATGTAAATTTTATTTACAAAAAAAATTCTACTAATGATAGGGATCAGTTAACTTTATGGTCAGTCAAACATCGTAAACCGCGTGGGAACGTTTAAATGGGTCGGAGGGAGTATAAATTAAGATAGAGCAGATACTGTTCCGAAACTTTATAAATCAAGTTCCTAATTTCCTATCAATGAGAATTAATGTACCTGTAGGCATATACAATCTTACGAATTCATTCTGCATTTGTATTGCTAATATTCTACTATTTTAAGCTTAAATTGATTTATCTTTAGATTACATTTGTTTAGTAATAAGTGTTCTTAACTTTGATCTCATAACTGCGCATCCGTGTGTGTATTCACACTTTAACTTTTTAGGAGAAAGTTCTATTTTTATTTCTTTTTATACCGTACTAATGTCTTTTCTTTCCCAGAATGGCACTCCTGTTTGATTTGTGGTAGATCTTCAATCCTCCATTGTTATTGCTGTCCAAATGCAGTATGTCGCAAGTGTTTTAAGCATGCAAAATTTGTTCGGGTTAAGGATGAGCGTGGATTCTGCAATAATTGTCTAAAGCTAGCAATACTTGTAGAGGAAAATAAGGATGTTGATTCTGAAGGGGTATGCTCTTAGATTCTTTTTATTTGTACTTCTTATCACTTAAAATATATTATGAAGTATGATGTTTTTTACATGAACTGCTAGGAACACTTTTTTTTGTAATGAGTATTGCTTGGACAAATTTGCTATATGGAGAAGAGCACTCTCTTTAACATGACAGTTCAGCAATTTATAAACTATAAAAAACTTATAAGTTCTGTATATGAGCAGCATGAACAATGCTAGTTGTAGACTGCAACTCATTACAAAAATCAAGTGTTCTATAATACTATCTTTCGTCCTAAACCATAGATTATACTATTAATGAATGGAGCATTTCTTATAATAGTCAAAGAGTCTTGGTAGACCAATTTTTGAGTAACCCTACAGGCCTAACCCTAATACACTACTATGAAGACCAACTAAAATAGAATGCATATACTAATATGACACTACTACTAATAGTAACAGTAAAGTACTAAACTAATACTAATATAAATAAAATAAGGTAATAAAAAACGACAATAACCAATAGGGCCTTATCACATTTCCTGTTCACTCACCAATACAGTTTTTTTGGTCTCCTAGGATATATGACTCACTGAAACTCTTGGGGTGTATCCATTCAAACCTTTCTTACGACTGTTTTTTCACTTTACTTTACTCCATTTCCCGTTTCTTGTGTTTCCATGTTTGTGCAACATTTCATGAAGGCGATCAAGGACAAAGATTGCATGTGTTGGAATTTGTCTATCCAGTATACAAGCCTTTTTACCACCCACACCTCCAACTACATGTTTTTTTTTATAGCAAATAAAGAAAGCTTTATTCAAAAACGAGCAAAGAAGAGTACAATGTGAAAAGGAAAAACCTAGAAAATACATAGAAAAAGAGAAAAAATGAAAAAGATAGACTAAAGCCCAACCCTAGCTGGAAAATTAAATCTTTTAACCAAATTATCTATGTACGTTGCGATTTAGGAATTGTTATAATAAAGTCTACCAAAGGAAGAGTAGAAAGGTAGTTAGTAATAACTAACTAGTCTGTAAGTTCTGTTGTTCCCTGCGCGGACAATTTACTATATATAGAAGCTTATGAACTAGAAGGGGTAGGCTGTTATTCTGTTGGACTTAAACTTTGGAGACTGGGCATCTTGAATAGTCCTATGCATTGTATACCTTCTGTACTTTCTTCTACGTCAATAAACTCTTCTTGATCTTGTTTCTTGTTAATTTCATATTGAATCTACTGTGTTCTGAGTCGGAATTACCAGTGTTCTATCAGGCTAGAATGAAGGTATATTGTTATATTAGATGATTAGATCTTTCTGAAGAACCTGTGTTTATAAACACAATGAAATTACTAAAAGTAAAGCTTTTAGTGTACTAAGATGCATGCTTGTTATGTGATGCCAAGGGTGCTACTCTGTTTGTTAAGAAACAAAATGCTTTATTAGTAGACCAATACTTTTGCATCTCAGTTTGCAATGGAATCTCAAGTAAATAGAAGAAAAAGTGATCTATATCTACACGTGTTATCTGAATATTTGTGTATGTTGATATGTATGTATACATATATGAGGAATTTGACAAAAGGAAAATATGAGATTAGGTATAGAGTGTGTTTGGGATTTTTTATTTGCAAGTAAGATAATGCTGTTAACAATAAAAGGCACTTTTATTGTTATTTAAGAAAGCAGCAAACAGGTGCTTTTTTCAGAAACAGATCTTTAAGTTTAAATGATAACATTTATGACAAAACCAGTCGTATCATAAGTTATCCTGAACAGTTTCAAAGGCTCTAACTATCACTGTTACAATGCATATGGGATAACGGTGGCCGATGGGGTAAATGAGCATATGGTGCAATGTCAGAAAAGATTGGATAATGTGGAAAATGAAGATTCCTGTAGATAACCTTAGTGGATTTTCTATTGGTTCATGTAGCTGAGCCCATTGAATTGGAATTAAGGCTTTATTGTTGTGTGGGGTTTAATATTTTTGTGTTGCTTCTCAGGAAAGTGTAGACTTAAAGGACCGGGAAACCTATGAGGGCCTGTTTAGAGAGTATTATGAGATTATCAGGGAAAGTGAAGGACTTGATTTAGATACTCTTCGTGCAGCTAAAATCCGACTAGACCTGGACAAAAGTGATCTATCATCATCTGACTCTGAACCTGCTGATGTAGGTGAAGATGGAAAGGATCAATGCATCCTTTCTGATGATGATGATGATGATGAGGAACACCCATATGAATGGGGAGGAAAGAAGTCTGGACACAAAAAGAAGAAACCAGAATCACAGAAAGCCAGTTCTAGGAAAAAGAAGAAACCCAAAAAAATTGTATTTAGTGGTTGGGGTTCTGACACTCTCATATGTTTTCTTAAATCAATTGGTGAGGAAACTAAACTAGAGAGGAAACCTGATGATGTGGAAAGGATCATCCTTCGATATGTAAAAGAAAACAAGCTCACTCATCCTACTAAGAAAAGGAAGGTCATTTGTGACTATAAACTGCAATCCTTATTACAGAAGAAGGAGATCAACAAAAACAGAATACCTAAGCTCATTGAATGTCATTTTGCTCTGAACGAAGAGGAATCGGAGGATGGTGATATTTTCAATGTAGATGGAGATAAGAAAAACACGCCGACCAGTGACCTGGAAACGGAGAATCAGTCAGACAATGATGATGCTCTCAAGAAGGAAGGGTTAATAGCCGGTATACTTCAGAGTAAATATGCTGCCATAATTCCAGAAAACATTAAACTTGTTTACTTGAAGAAGAGCTTGGTGCATGAGTTATGCAAACAACCTGATGCATTTGAAGAAAAGGTGATAGGGTGCTTTGTTCGGTTCAAGTCAAATCCAAATGGTTTTCACTGTCGGAACCTGTATCAACTTGAGCAAGTTACAGGTTAGCTTTGATTACCACTTGCTAAGTAATCATTCTGATCAAATATTTGTACAGCTTATATTTTGTCTAAATCCCATCATGAGTTTCCTTAGGCATCAGAAGTGCTTTCGTTGGTGAAGAAAAAAGTGACATTATGCTTTCTGTTTCAAATATGCCGAATGATATTTGCTTAAGTGTGCTCTCGGATGCTGATTTTTCTGAGGTAACATGGTTTCTTGTTTATTTTACCGCTTGATTTTGTTGTAAATTTGTTCTATTAACTATATCTAAGCTTGACAACCACTTAAAATGTGTTTGCACCTACTATCGCATTGCTAAAAGAAGAGGGTGTCTGAGTTGAAAGGTTTAATTGCTGAAGTTTTGATGGTTTCATCCTTGAAGTGATGTATGTGGCGATTCAAACTTGGTGAATTTATTTTTTGTATTTGGTTAACCTCCTCATTTAACCCAGAAAAGACCGCTTGAGGAATGAGCTAATCAGGCAAAAGGTGCAAGTAACACCTATAGAAGTTAAGATGCAGGAGTTGCGATTGCGGTGGTTTGGTCATGTGCCCAGAAGATCGACTGGTGCACCTATTAGACGACTTGAGAGGTGGGGAGAATTGGTGGGGAGGAGAGGGAGAGGAACACCCAAACAGACTTGGATTATAGGAATCAAAACTGATATGCTTCTTCTTAGGTTGGATGAGAGTATAGCTTTGAAGACAGCAAAGTGGAGGGTGCATATTCGTGTGCACGATTGATCTCTTTTCTCTCCCCTTTTCTTTTATCTTTCATCTTCTTTATCTTTCTATGTTATTATTGTGTTATTTTTATTTTTTTTATCTTTCTTATGCTCTTTTATCTTTTTATTTTTTTATCTTTCTTATGCTCTTTTATCTTTTTATTTTTTTTTATCTTTCTTATGTTCTTATGTAATTTTTATCTTATATTTATCTTTATTTTATCCATTTTATCTTACTTTATCTTTTTATTCTTCTTATCTTTCTTCTTTTTTTGGCTCTGATATTATGGATTGATTAATGTTAGTGGATCCCAAAATCATTTGGGAAGAAGGCTTGGTTGTTGTTGTTGTTTAACCTCATCATTTGTTTATCGCTTCCTGTTATTTAAATTTTAAAGGCTAAGAATTCTTTACATATGTAAAAATTTCAGAACATTAATGATATATATATCACTTCCTTTGCACTTTCCAAGGTATAACTGAACAAGGAAATAACACTCCCTAGTATTTTTTCTGTTTCCCTAGCATTTTCAGGGATGCAAACATACCCTTAATGTATGTCGTTTTTCTATCATTTCATTTCATTTTCATTTACCCCAGTGCCGCAAAGGCTCCCACCTACGGTGGGGTAAGGGGGGGTCGGATGTACGCAGTCTTACCCCTGTACTAAAGCACAGAGAGACTGTTTCCGGATGACCCATAGTGAAAATCGTGTCCAAAATTGCATGGACTGACTGCTGCTCCATAACAAAGAAGCGTAGACAGTTTAGTGAGCCATTTTGCTTTATTTCATCATAATCTCAAACCAAAAAAATGAATCTTTGGCTCCATTGCAAATGATGGAAATGTATGTCGTTTTTCTATAAATAACAAATTTTATTTTGCATCACAAGTAGAATAAGATTTTACTGATTTACTGTAACATTATATGAATCTCTTATAAAATTAAGCTAATACTAATAGTATTAAAATATAGTGATAAATCTCTTATAAATGTGGGATTACCATTTCCCGTTTCCTGTTATAAACCTGTTATGTGAACCCTTGTTTATGTTTTTGGGTTTTGAACATGTGCTTCGGCACTTGAACATATATGTAGGAGGAATGTGGAGAGTTACTAAAGAAGGTGAAAGCTGGGCTGATAAGGAAACCTGTTTTGGTTAGTATTTAGTTGTTTTACAGTTTTCTTTTTAAGCCACTCATATACTAGTACTATTGTTTAGAACGGGACTAATGTCATTTAAAAACATAAAAAATACAGGTTGAACTACAAGAGAAAGCAAGCAGTCTTCACAAGGATATAACCAAGCATGTAGGGGTCCAATCTCTTGCATTTCTTGATTAGCAATTTAGCATTAATAGTAGTTTATGGTCAAACAGGTGTTCTCTTATAGGTTTATATTCTAACAAGTGCATAAACTTTTAACTACACAAGCGCACCATTTTTTCAGATTTTCTCATGTGGTTTCATTTGTAAATATCAGTGGCTTCCTAGGGAGATAAATAGACTGCAGAACCTCATCAATTTAGCGAATGAGAAAGGATGGAGACGTGAATATCCTTTATAAAATGTCTTTAATTTTGACTCACTTAACTATTTTGGTACACACACTCACTTATCATTTGTGCTGTACTTGTAACTAATAAACAAGAAGCATAGTTCACCTTAACGGTTGCTTTTACATTATATGAGTACTTGGAAAGGAAACAGAAGCTGGAAAATCCAAAAGAAGTGTCTCGGCTATTAGAAATACTCCCTGTGGTTATTCCAGATTCAGGAGATCTTGATAGTCCATCTGAGGAATCTGAGGAAACTAACATTGGCAAAAAAGAACAAGGACCATCACAAAAATTAACACCTTCAGTGGTTACCACAGTTAGTAAGTAGTACACTTTGAGACTTTTGGATATTGCAATTTTAATTGCTTTTGCCATCCCAAATTCTAGATGAATTCCCTTCCAGTTTCAATACAGAAATGTATCATCTCAGATTATTGAACTCTGTTTTGTTTCAAGTTGTTCCTATTTGTATCTTGCAACATTTACCATGTGGTATTATGGTGCAAAAAGATAATTTCTTGTCATATATAGATCAGCTTGGGTGAAGGGTTTTGGAAGGACTTTGGAGAGTGAAGTCTATGTCATGATCTTGATAAACAAGATGTTTCTAAAATATAAGTAAAGTATGACTGAAATGTCATATAATTACCTATTACTGTGATTCCTCAATTTTTTTATAAAATCTAATTTAAATATGTCAAGATTTAGACAGCTTTCCAAACCCTCCATCCAAACTGACCCTTGGTTCTGGTATAGTTCATACCTATGTGGTTCAGACTATGCAGACATATGCTTGCATAGTTCTGGTAATTCTGCTCTTTCCTCTATTAATGCTTCAATTTTACAGAAGATTTTTTTTTTCATTTACTGAGATATTGTTTTGAAAGGACTGCCCGTATTCATGACTTCTGAAGAAAAGGAGCATAACAGAACTGAGCAGCCTCTCCAGATACCTGCAAATCAAGAACTAAACAAATTAAATCCTTGCCAACACAAAGAGGAGCTCAAAAAGCACATAAATAATCTCCCTTCCATGGATCATCTGCTTCCTTTACATGGAAATGAAAAGCCAAACCAGCAGACAGACGATGATGTCGATCTGGAAACCGTAAAACCTCACATGTGTGCAATGGTTGATGTCATTAAACCTGATGATGAGAAGCCCCAAGTTTGTGATGGGGAAGAGAAGGATGATATGGTTAAAGATGAAAAGGCAGAGGTGGTGGGGAGCGAGGACCGGGAGGAACTGGTATGGCACATCTGTGGGATGAATGAGAAGAACCAGATGTATAGCCTGTCATTCTTGAAGAGCTGGGGCGAAGCAAATGAGGAGGCATCACAGTTCAAGGTTTGGAAGGCAGGGCAGAGTGAGGAAGATGCAATTCCTTTGAAGGATGCTGTCATGCTGGCTTTTCCAAGGTGTTGATCATCAGCCCCTTACCCCTTTGAATGTCTGTTAGTAGCCCCCCCCCCCCCCCCCCCCCCAATAATTGAGGCTTTTGTGCCAGCAAGACATTTAAGTGTTATGCTACCCTTGAATCCTTTTTTCTTTATATGCTATGGTTGCTGATTTTGACCTTGGAGTACTCCATCTTAAACTTTCTGGGAAGTGCTGATTCTTCTATGTTAATGTTCGGGAGTAATTAAAACATTTAATGAGAAAGATAAAATAAGAATTGATTAAGATTTGCTGAAACTGTGCTAAAAGGGTAAAAACCAACAAAAATATGAGTTAGCTAAAAAGGAAATGCATGTTTGTGAATTCCCCTTCCAAATCTTTATCTTTAAAAAACTCTTATAAAAGGGAATGAGGTTTAGGACCTTTTCAGTCAGTATTCGTGTTTTATTTCTCTCTTCCATTAAAATATAAATGTTTGATGCGCTCATTAGTCCCTTCCTCTGCTCATTTGTACTTGGGAATATCGTTACACTATAATCTATATTCCTTTTAAATTAATCATTTCTAATAAATATCAATCATATTTCGGAAATTAGCTTTACCCATTCCATCGTCTTTGTGCTGACCAAGAGGAAGAGCAGCCGGCAGAGGAAGATTTGCTTCGGAGGCTTGATTGTTGGTTGAACCAACCATCTCTATGTGAGATGATTTTACTCGGTCTGTTTCTAGTCCCAAACTTAAACATACTAGATCAGACTTAAATAGATTATACCAGACCAAACTTACATTATAATAAAATACACAGAGACAAGAGATTTATCAAATCAGACCAGACCAAGCTAGATAAGGCTAATAAATTTTAGTCCAATTAAAAACATCGTAAGAGGTAGGACAACCATCAGATGAGAATTTCTTGCAAAGTTGAGGGACTATTTGCACGCACATGTTTTTGGTGACCAATTTTGCTTAATAATGTCTAATCCATTTGTTGGTCTTATGGGAATTAGCACCACATTTGATTCGAGCCTAATCTTTTGATTAGGCTCGACCTGCTGGCACTACGATGTGGTGCAACCTCTCATGATCATCCACAACTCAATAGTAGGGCTCTGCAATACCGTAGTAAACTGTGGTGTTGCTCTATAGAAATCTACCTTGACCTGGTTACTACAGAGTAATGTGTTAAATGAAGTGTGTCCACCTCTTTATCACTAATTGATTTAAGAATGATATCACTGTTATTTAACCATAGAACTATACAGTTAAGTGAACTCGGAGGCAAGAAAAATAAAAAAATGGATGACCCATTGGGGAGCTTGTAAAATCGAGCGAATCGATTCTACAAGTCATATCAGAAAAAGGTCGCGAGTGAATCTTACTGTGTTGTGGCTGATTGATGGTTTATGGGGGATCAATACCACCTTTTGATTCGGGGACTAATCATTTGATTAGTTCTGACCCTCATGTCTATCCACCGCTCAGTAGTAAAGCTCGGCATTGCAGCAGTGAACTGTGGGTGATACCCACGAGAATCCACCTTGATTTGATTATTATAGGGTAATGTGTTAAATAGAGCATGTCTACCTTTTTATCACCAATTAATTTCTAGAAGGATGTGACTGTTATTTAACTTATAATTATGTAGTTAAACGAGCCTGGAGCAGGAAAGTCCAAGGATGTGTTAAGAAATTGCACTAGACAGAAAGTGCAATTTTCAGATATAGCAATAATTTTTAGTATACATGAGCCATATTTAAAATCTGACAATATCGTACTCTTTTTTAGGGTAATAGCGTGGCACTATTTTGAAAATTTGCATTTATTAGTTCTGACCCTCGATTCATATTTAGCCTCTCAATGATTCATTTTGCATTTTGAATCCCTTAAATTGCATTTGGATTAATTGGTATGTTGTTCAATTGTGAATTAGAGTGAAAATGGGTTGTAGCCTTGTAGGTGTAGGCAGGAATCATAAAGAGAGATTCTAGAAGCACTCAGAACACTAGAAATTATTGAACAAGGAATATGAAGAAATGCTCTTGAGATTAATTATATATATAAAGTAGAGTTTGTGAATGAGGTGTAAAGTAGTTGTTTTTGAAAGAAGAAGAAGCTAAAATCACACACAACAAACAAGAAAGCAACACAAAACTTCAAAATATGTTTCCAAAGTTGCACTAGGTCTTCAAACTATTTTTAACCCTTTTACATTTAAAAAGAAAGCCACAGAAACTTCTAAAGTATGGAACAAGAGATTCATCCCAAGTGATTTAAACAGTTTGGAGAAACTCTTCATGTTGAGTATTCATATGTTGGAGAAACTTCAAATCTACCACTATTCATATAATGTGCTAATAAACCAGCATCCAATATTGTTGAGTATTTTCATTAATGGCTTTCTGAATTGGAGTAAAATCATTCATCTTGTCCTTGACTAAATATATACTATTATCCTTTTACCATTCATCTGCATTTTTTGGGTTATATTTCATCCAAAATTTCTTATGTTGAAAGTAATATTCATTATCGAAAGATGGTGGACTATTTTTAGTTTTTTTTATGATGATGATATGACTAAACTTTATAAATAAACAATAACAACAACGATAATAATTGCTACAATTATAATAGTAACTGTTAAATAATAGTAGTAATATATTAATAATTATAATAATAAGTTACGAAAAAAATGTTATAAGGCTCACAACGAGTTCTTTCAAAGATGAAGCTCAAAATGATCAATAAGAATGGAAGCAAGAAGGAATCGAAAATACACTAAAAGCCGGCTCTAATGAAAACCCTCCATAAGTACATGTGACATTTTCATGCATGCATAGGCTTCTTCCTGGTGGGTTAGATTTATTTCTTATAATTGTATTAAGGGTCTTTCAATATTTTTGGTTCTTAATTTCTGTCTTAATTTTTCCCAATTGTTTTTAGGATTAATTGTCAAAACAGGACTAATAGCTGGTAACTTTGCACAAATAGGACAAAAAAGTAAATTATATTTTGATAGGACTAATTATGTTTGTGTTGGACAAATATACCCTTGTTCCTATTGAAATGTTTTAATTCATAATAAAATACTAAAAATCGTAAAAAAATACTAAAAAAATGAATAAAAATATTTAAATAATACTCCCTCCGTCCCGAATTGAATTGCAAATTTTGACCGGCACAAGGATTAAGGAATGAAAATAAATGATGCTTGCTTTTTATACTTTGTCCATCTTTCTAAAAGTAGAAGCCTTAAGTTAACGAAGAAAAAGTAAAAGTAAGGGTAAATTTGTCACTTTATTCTTATTACATAGCTAAAATAGAAAGTGGAAAACCATTTTGGAACAAACAAAATAGGAAATTTTGCAAATCAAATTGGGATGGAGGAAGTAATAATTAAAAAACAAAAATTTTAAAAATTAAAAAATAAAAAAAAAACGCAACAAAAAAATAAATCACCGCCGCCTCTACCGCCCCAGCACCAGCACCTCTAGTCATCGGGGGATGTCAAATCCATTACGAATGCTATATTTATGATAGATTCAATGAAAATTTTGGCATTATCAAAGAGTAATATGCCATTTTTTTGGCATTTTCAGAAAAAAATGGCATTTTTTACACCGCTGGAGGTGGTGGTGCAGGGAGGCAGTACAGGGGGTGGGAAAGGCATCCATATTTTTTTAAATTTTTTATGGAGTTTTACTATTTTTTATTTTTTTAAAAAAAAATTAAAAACATTAAAAACAAAAACAAAAAAACACTACAAAAAAATCACCTCTTCCTCTGGCGCCCCAGCACCACCATCTCCAGTCACCAGGGAAAAAAATCCAAATGCATTAGGAATGTCATATTTATGTCAGATTCAATAAAAATTTTAGCATCGTCAAAAAGTAATATGCCATTTTTTGGCATTTTCAGAAAAATGGCATGTTTTACACCACTCATAGGTGGTGATGCAAGGAGGCAGTACATGCAGTGGGAAAGGCATCCATATTTTTTATGGAGTTTTACTACTTTTTATTAATGTTTTTTTTTAAATATTATATTTTTATTTAATTTTTTATTTTATAAATTTTTTATTAATTTTTTATTATTTTTCTACAATTTTTTTAACCTTTTTCGAATTTATTATGAATTAAACATTTAGTTATGAGCTTTGACTACCTTTTACTCATATTTAAAAGAGGTGTAAGAATAGAATGAAAAAATAAATATTTTCCAATAGATATGTTTTAAATATTACTTATATTTGGAGTAATTTATGTTGTTTTAATTGCGTATAAGACTTTTATCTTATCCTTTGAGCACGCCTTAGAACATCTCCAATGCTACAATGTGCACGGTGCACATGTGCCATGAGAGATAGCGAGATAAATATTAGTAAATAAATTCTTTATATCCTTATTTGAATGCTTTTATGCATTTTAGGACCTTTAGGTAAATTTTTCTCCACAATGTCAAGGAGACCGTCTAGATGTTGACATTGCGGTTGATGTTGCAGGGAAAAATTTACCAAAATTGTATAAAATCATTCAAATAAAGAGAGAGATAACTTATTTGCTACTCGTAATATTTATGTGATTATCTTTCATGGCACATGTGCACACTGTAGCATTTAAGATGCTCTTAAATGATTGGGTTAGTGAATAAAAAATTATGTGTTGAAGTGACTTTAGCTTCTCATGCAATAGAGCGAATCAGCGAATAACTAACTTAAACATTTAAGTCTTATTTAACGAGGGAAAAACAAAAAAGTAATGCGGTGAGCGTGGATCGAACACGCGACCTTCAGATCTTCAGTCTGACGCTCTCCCAACTGAGCTATCCCCGCTTTTGTTTCTTCCTTCTCGTCATTGAATTAAGAACCCAAATTGTTTGTCGAAACAAGGAACAAAAAGACGCCGTTGCCGGGGATCGAACCCGGGTCACCCGCGTGACAGGCGGGAATACTTACCACTATACTACAACGACCGCTTGATAAATAAATTGGTTTAGCATTATGAGTATAGTTTATTAACTGCACACACCTATTAAATTGCCCCGCCAGTATGTGATGTCTACCATTCAAGCATTTACTCCGTATTATATTGCCAAATAATTTCTTTATCTCAACGAATACTCATATTTCTTTCAAAAATTTTCCTGTTTTCTATTCATATTAAATTTATGTATCCAGTGCTTAGTGGACATTGTGAAACAAATTTTAAGTATTTACTTAAAATTGATCGCAAATAGGAATATGTGAGAATATTGGGTAAAATCTCTAAATATGAATCATCTGATTCTTCACTTGCAATTTGAAATTAATATATAATTAAAAAAATTCATTCAAAATTAAATCTTTAATCCTTCCAACGTTCAAACGTTCTTCAGATCTTCAAATCTTCGTTCTTGAGATCTTTGAATCTTCGTTCTTCGGATCTTCAAATCTTCTTGAATTAAGAATTCAACTTGAAGGGCCTCCGGTTTTCAAGTGGCTTGATTTTCAACAAAAGGGCCGTTTTATGGCTTGATCTTTTGTTTAAGGGCCTCCCGGGATATATGGCTTGATCTTCAATTGAATTTCAATTCAATCTTCATATGAGTATCTTCAAATCTTCAAAGATTCGTTCTTCATATCTTCGAATCTTCAAAGTCTTGTTCTTCAAATATTTGAATCTTCAAGCTTCGTTCTTCAGATCTTCGAACGTTCTTCAACTTTTGGATTTATTTTATTAAGAATCGACGAAATCACGAAGGATTATTCGTATATTCTTAATAAAATTCGTGGTTTGATATATTCCTCTTCTTCGGAATCGTTCAGAGCATTTCGGGAGTTCTTGAGAGCTTTTCTACAGCGTTTCTTCGCCTGAAAATTCTCTCCCCTTTCCTCTCAACTGAGACCCCTATTTATAGGTGTGGAGGGGATGAAAATATGCTTTAGGGTTTTGGAAATTCGTCCATATCCCTTGGGCCTCAAATAAAATGGGGTTTGGGCTCTATTTGCTTGCATTTAATAGCTAGAAAAATCAGCATTTGTTCGATGTATCTGGACAGCCTTTTTAACAAGATTCACATCCATTTTCCATGCATACAGATGGAATTCTTAACCATATTCATTGCTCTCTTTATCAATTAGATCATGACTCTTATTCATTGGGCTACTATTTAATAATGGGCTCAAAATAAAAAAAAGATAATAGGACCAATCCATTCTTTTTAAAGATTTAATTTATAATTAAATTAATTGGATATTTAAATGACCCAAATTAATTCAATTATTAAATTTTATCCGAATGGGTCCATCACGAGCAGTCCAACAGAATCGAACGTTGACCCAATAATTTTATTATGTCCACAGACATTACGAAAGAACCCGTGCTTTAAACTTCTATGCTAACTGCATAGTGAAGGGATTGGTTTATTTCCCACTTCATGCCTATTATTCACTTTTTAGTGACATGGTCATTGTCAATTTCTTATTTTGTGCGTTATTGACACTCCCTCATGTTCTTAATAAAGTTTACACTTTGACTTCACACATATTAAAGAAATAAATTTAACTTTACTGTAGAGTACACTGTTTGACACTGTTTAATGTAGATTTGTTTGCCAAATAAGGCAAATAAGGAAGTGTAAAGTTTAATATGGGACGACCCAAAAAGAAAAAGTGTAAAGAACCGGATGAAGTATTAAAAAAGACATCCTGGACTTGAACCTATATATTTGGTTCTGAATCAATCAGCTCATGATGATAGAACTATTTATTAAAATTTTAGCTATTTAATCAACATTTTATTCATGTGACAGACAATTGTCAAGTGAAGTTTCTAGGTAATATTATTTGCATATTATCATCCTGCGTGACTGCATCTATCAATATATATGTCACATATTTTTTTCATGATAATGGTAAGGATTATGATACTCCGTATTTCGTTAACACAATATGTACATGTTAACACGCTAAGATCAGGAGTAATATTTTATCTAACTATTTTTCCCAATGAAAATTCCAACTTTCTGCCGTTAATTATTTTATTTTTGTCTCACTGCATTATAGAAAACATAATGAGACTGAAAAGTACAGACCTATATAAAAAAAAATGACACCCCATCCTGAGGGCCCCCAACACCGACCGACGGACAGACCTATATCCACTCATCACTGAAGGAGAACTATTTCGTAAAGCTCAGGTTTTTAATGATGGATGCAATAGTCTAGCTGCCTCCAATGAGGAGATATAACTTGATTGTATGCGCATCAATGAAAATATTCAATCCCAACAATCCCTACATGATATATAAACTTCAATAAAGGTAGATAGATATAACTTGCTTTGGTGCTAAAACAGCACAATCTACATGGTTCAGCTGTGCAGCAGCTAGCAACAGAAGTTTTACTGACTAAATGTATTGTAGCTTACCTATTACAACTTCTATTACAATAAGAAGATATAGCTTCATGTTAAACCGTTATAATTTTCAACGGTCTGCTTCATCTCATCTAGTTGTGCGAGGACACATTCCAGTTTCTTGCAACAGATCTCATTAGCTATTCTTGGAACATAGTCACACTTCTCAAATGGACGATATTCACAAGCACTTTTGATTTCTTCTCTTAGTGTCACCTGGATATCCTGAATTGTTTTTTGAAAAACCAAAATGTCATCTGTTTGCTCAACTTGCAAGGTGGGATACAATTTCAACAGCAAAGATCATTCAGAGCCATCACCAACGAGTATATAAAGATGCTTTTGATGCACTGCTATCAAGTACTGCTTTGTAAAACAATCTCTATGCAACATAAAGTAAAGATATTCCACAACTTTGTTCAAATAATTCTTCACATCCATGTTGAATAGGGTTTAGACCTTTATTAGTTGCATGAACTCACTGCATTGGTTGTTAATGAGCTCCTTCCTAGGGCCACTTGGCTTTGCCAATTCATCCATTACTCCTCCAGCTAGCTCTAAAACCCTAACTATCCTCTGCAGCAATAGCCATACACATGTTAAGCATCTAAATTAACCTTGCACATATAACACATAATATACACATATATTCCTATAGCTTATTCACTACAATTGTATTTGCATGTGTGACCTTTTCAACATTTTGAAGCCTCTGCAAAGAAGTATTCTGGGTTTGCGAGTCCATCATGCTCTATAACAATGACCAAATGAAGGTTATGGTTAAGAACAGTTTTTTCGAAAAAATTCACTAGCACAAAAATCCTCTGCTAAAACAACATATGACCGCAGCTCAAATGTTCCAGCAAAAAGTAGCAAAACGTTACAGGCTTACAGCAAGAAAAATCAAGATTGTGATCAACAAATACTCATAAAAGCTTATAAAACAACAAGTACAATCAATGATCTCAAAACAGCTTATGCAACAACAGTGCAATCAATCTAAAAAAATTACAATCTCATTCTGATAATAACTAAGAACCAAATGCTCAATTTGACAATCATAAAGTGGTCTGCAGTTCAGGAGACCTAAATTTCTGTTGGCATTATTTGCCTGGTTAAAACGGCTGATTAATTCATTAATATGTGATAAAGATTATCCTCATCTAGTTTGCTAGTACTATTGAGAGAAGCATGGAAACGCTGTTCAACTTTAGATTTCCGTTTCGGAAACGCGAGGGAATCACCGGGAAACATTTTCGAGCGATTGGGCTTTTGAGCCGGGTGCCTGAATATTTTAAAACGTTTTATTAGCTGAATCTCCGTGTTACAGATAAAAAGAAATCCCACCTTTAGTCTGTTTCCCTTAAGCCGATCAGGGGAAGTCCTGTCTGTTTAAAGGCCTAGGGGTGAAGAATTTCAAATGGGCTTAGTAAAAAAACTGTAAAACTCTTTTTTATCTAACATAATATGCATAATAAAAATAATAATATTTCAAGACTTTTATTTATAATAAAGAAAAGACTTAAATTCATTACAAATAAGTATGGACTAATAGACAATATCTTCAATTCTAAAAAAAACTTATAATCCAAAACAGCAACTAGTTGTGAGTCAAATACTCAAATGTGAGGGGAGTGAATGTTTTCTATTGTTCCGGTGAAGATGGGAACATAATAGAAATGGAAATAAATCAATGCGTAGGTATAAAAGATTTCTACTGTTTTCTCCAGTTCTACTCAAATGTGAGGGAAACCATAATCATCATACATGTTGTCGAGCCTATTTGTTAGTCTAATTTGGCTCACTCTCTGCAGTATACTGGAAATAAACAAATCAAGTAACTTTTCTTCTAAACAAGAAATCGACACAGAGAATTAGAAACTAATCAACCCAAATCAATCAATTGACTATTAGAGTTAAGTAGGATTGGTAGAATAGCAGAAATGCAGAATACCAGAAGTCCACTCAGGGAGCACTGAAGTCTGAAGGGAGGGGGGGGGGGGGGGGGGGGGGCTGAAGGGGCTGCCGGGATGGATTTTGGGAAGAATCGAAATCCGGAATAGCAGCCTGAGAAGGGGCAGGGTCGGGCACCGGTCGGGTCGTCAGGAGGCGGCCAAACGCGAAGCGTCGCAGGCCGTTAGGCTCACAGCCGTCGCGGTTGGAGTTCCGACTTCGTGTTCGTCCTCTCGCCGTCTAAGGGCTTCCGGTCTTGGGGCTTGCGAATGATAGACTGGCAGTTCGCTAATTGCGAATGAATTTGGGGATAGGCGAGTGGCGAGTCTGTTCTAGAACGTTCGCTAATTAGCTGAGTAACTAAATGTAGTATGTGTTATACCGAATATTTTCTCTCATACCTTTACCGTATCAAAATTTTCGGTATGCAAAATTTATATATGCGGTATACCGACGTTTCGGTTCGGTAACAGTACGGTATCGGTAAATTATCATGCATGTCTCCCAATACAACAAATTATCATAGACTAAAGAAATATGTTAAATCGGTGTTACTAGTGACATATTTATTTCATTATTAAAATTTTACAAATATAATTAATAATCTATTGATGTCATACTCAATATTGAACAATAATTATTATTAGTATATTTAAGCAGTTCAACATGTCACATATTAAAAAACAAAACATTCTCCTAAAATAACTTGAACGATATAGATATAATAAATCAATAGTGATCTCTAACAATAATAAATAAAATTATTCAAACAACATGGATATAAAATTATTTATTCCTAATACTACCTCTATCCCAAAATGTTTAGCCAAATCTCAAAATTTGGACCATGGTTTTGATTAGTATAATATTATGAAAGTTATAAATTTTATACTTTTATGAAAGTACTTTTAACAAAGAACATTTTCATATAATTTTTATATTATAAATAATTTCCAATAAATATATATTAATCATCAAAGTTTTGGATTTGACTAATCATTTTGGGATGGAGGTAGTATGATATTGTGCATTTAGTCATTTTTATATTTTATTAAAAAATGAATAAGACTTTCGGACAAAGTTGTGTGCCTCGACTCGTGGAATCCCTATGTACATACATCTGTCACATAAGTGTACCTCTCTCCACTCATCAGCTACTCAGTGACTCAATCATCGCAACTCGCAAGCTCTTGGAATAAGATGAACTTGTTTTTGGAAATTAGTACATTACTAATTAGTCATAGGAGATTTGTAACCAATGTAAGTATTAATTTTGGGCTTCATAATTGTAATGGAGTTTTACATACTCTAGAATTAAAAGTAATAATTGTTGGGTAGGGAGTCGGTACGGTATTATACCGGTATACCGCGGTATTTGAATACATTTACCGTTACCGTACCGAAATAAATCGGTACGGTATGATACCGTACCGAAAATGACGATATACCGATATTCCGGTATTTGTCGGTATTTTTCGGTACGATAAGTGCGGTATACCGATTTTACGGTATTTTTGCCCACCCCTAGTTTTACTAAATATAGAGCTCGTTTGTCGGCTCCTTTTTTAGGCTTATAAGACTTATCAATCTGGTAACAAAAAAAGGTTGAACCTTTTTATCAAATATTTTTTGATTTCACGCGCTAAATTTTGTAATAACAAAAAAGGTATGGTTGGAGTTACTTTTCTGGCTGTATTGACTGAAGTTACTGTAGAAGATCTTTTTAGCTATTTTTTCATATAATTTTTTATTTTATTTATTAAAAAAAATATTTTATTTTATTTTTTATAAATTAGCAGAATCAGCCAATACAGCCACTTCACCTATAACATCATAAATTTCAACAGAATCAGCCAATTCAGTCATTTTCAGTGTTACCAAACGGACTCATAGTCTCATATTTTTAAATTGGTTTTAAATAAAATAATTAACTTTACAAATGTAACTTTAGTAAAAAAAAATGCTTGCTTTTTCTATTGTTAGTGTGCTACAACAATTTCTTGAGTTGATCCGAAAATTATCTATTACTTCCGTATCTATGAGTATAATATCTACTTGTATAATAATTATTTTTTCAGCTTCTTTCTGATCTCTGGCCTTTTCTCTAGTAAAAGGGTAACCTTCCACACCATGTTCAAATATAACATCGAGAACCTTTTCTGTTAATAACTCTCCACTTCCAATAAAGATCACAAGGTGGGGTGTTCCCCTACAAAGAATAAACCATCCAGATGGTCATGAGTATGGATGGACCCGGGCCGGGCCGGTTCCGGGTCGAGTCCGGGCGGGCTTTTTTGTACTATACCAAATTATGTATTGAACATTGAGAAATGTATAAAAGCATTTTTACGTGATTGTAAATTTTTATCATTTCTATTACGTGAATAGTAGAATTCACGTGGGGCCCACACCGGAGGTGGGGCCGCCCGATATTATTGGGACCACATGTTATATTAATCTTGGGCTAGATAATATGAATATGGTGGTAGATATCCTAATTGGGCCATGGCGATGGCATATAGTTGACCGGTTGGTCAAACGGGGCCAAATTATCGATACCGGAAATTTATCAGATAACAGCCCAAAAAGGGATTTCGGAGACTTCTAAATTAAAGTTGGGGAATGCATATTGATTCTAAGGTCCAATAAGGATTGGGAAGGAGGGTTATATTTTATTTGACCTGATAAAATAAAATATAATTAAAGCAGTCCGGAAAATACAACTTTCGGGGTCGAGTGTACATTTGGGGACATAAAGGGATGACCTCCCACATGAGTGGGGGCCACCCCACGGATTTGGTGCTGCAAATGTCAAGGGGAGCCGCACATAACCTGCAGGAGTAATGAGAAATTGATTGGGAGACCAATCAATGGGAAGGTGGACCTCACCTTTGACATTATTTTGGAGAAATGCCAAAGAGGCATTCTCAATCATCAAACTAACCCTCCAGCTCGTCCAACCCATCCATCCTTGAGATAGAAGCTCTGCAAACACCTCACAACATCCACCATTCACGAACTGGAGCTAAGGAGGAAGAAGGAGGGGAAAAGAGAAGAGAAAAGTTGGTTTTTGGAGAGGGAAACTTATGTTTAGCAAGGTAAGGACTCCATTAATCTCATTGCTTGTTCTTCAATACTCTTTTATGATTATTCAATCATATTTCACACCCTAGTATTGTTCTACACGTTGGGATGTGTAGAAAGAGGGGTTGGAAGGTGGTTCTAAGTCCAAGAACGGACTTAGAAGCCAAAGTAACCGGTTCGCCGGAAAATAACCTTTTGGAGGTTATTTGTATTACTATGGGTTTTATGATGATAAAACCTTGTTAGTAACTTGCCTAAGGTATTCAAGGAACTTTCACGGAGTTGAAAAGGTCGCCGGAGGTTCCACCGGAGTTCGTTGAAGTTCGTCGGAGTTTCGCCGGAGCTAAATCGGGAAGGCTAGAACTTCATAAGCTTCATTAAGGTGAGAAGACGGCTTTATGCTTTATAGCTTTTGCTTGAGGCATGAGATTACCTAAAGTAATCAAGGATATGTTTTGTGGAATGATTTAAGATAATCAAGTATTTGCTTATGCCATGATTTTGCATAAAACATAGTTGAAAAGCATGTTATGTAGGTTTGGTGATTAAAAATGTGATAACATTTTTTGTGTGATGATCCAGGGGTCCAAAATGGTATTTTTGGATCAAGGACATCAAGATGTATATGTGTATAAAATTTCAAGTTAATCGGACTCCGTTTGGGTGGTCGAAAGGGGCGTTGACCGCCAAGTCAACTGCCATCCCCGACCGGGTATTGACACATACCCGACCTGGTATTTGCTGAAAAATTTCCCAGGGGGCTACTGTCTCCTATACCCGATCGAGTATAGGTAGATACTCGATCGAGTATACATTGAAAATTAGCTTTGGGGGCTACCGCCTTCTGTACTCGACCGAGTATGGGTAGATACTCGATCGAGTATTGATTTATGCTCAAAACGGGCAGTTTTGAGCGGGTTAATGTGGGCCGTTCAGGTGGGACCCGCCCACGTTGGTTCCTAAGGATGGTTATATGACTATAGGGCTAGGTATTGTCCATAGTTGAAGGAACGAAAGGTTAGCCATATCCAGGTTAGGGTTTGGTAAGGATTTAGTTGGGGTTGAGTATCCCCGGGACATTAGATGATCCTGAAACTCGGTTGGGGTTGAGCATCCCCGGGACTATAAATGATCCTGAAACTCGGTTGGGGTTG